TTATGTGTTTCAGGTGAAATAGACGACTATACCAAATTAGATTGTTTGCAGGTGTGTGGTTTAAGAGTGCACAAGTTAAGGTGGAACACCCTGTATTTGAAATTTTCGGAAGTCAAATGCAGTGCTCACAGAAAGTCTTGAGATGCTTGCTTAATTCAGTAAAAATATAGCAAATTTTGATTACGCAAATGTAGACATTAGAGTTTACTGCTGAGGACAGAGAGAGCATCACATCAGATTTTTATCAGTCTTTTTTTAATGTGTTACATTGGCATTCAATTGTATACAAGTTCTAATTTTATAGGAATTTCCTCAATACAGACAACCAGTTGCCACATAATCAAAGTTATCAGATGGAAGCTGGCATGTTTGTTTCTCTCCAAAAGTCTCCTCAGCTGAAGAACTTCACAGTGGGCGAACACTTAAAGACATACGAGCGCAAGCAAACTAACCACTCGCGGCTGCTGAAGGGGAACGGCCTGGGGGTCCACAAGCTAGCAGCTGGAAGGAAGCACAGGTACTACCTTGATGTAATTTTTGAAAGGATGTGGCAAAACAAACCAACTTGTCTGGAGGAGGGAGATTATTCATTCTAGCTGATAATGTGCCTCTGTGTATGGAACATCAAAACCTATTATCGCTTCAGCGAGTTGTGAAAGGGAAATGGAGATCCCAGTGGTGAGAACTGGAGCAGTTGTGTTGTTTTTTTTTGATTGGAGCTTTATCTCCCCTCTTATTTCTTTCCCCAGTGAAAACCCTCATGCCGTAACTCCACCGCCCAATAGAACCAATTATTTTGTTGTCAGTCATACGCCGCCACAAGGGGTCGTCGTTCAGGGGCGGCTGTTCCAGCATGCTAATGCACCTGCTGTTATAGGGAAGACCGTCCAGAGGTAGGAGGCATCGTCGTGGGATCTCGGTGTGTTTATGTTCACGGTGAACTTCAGGATGAGTGTGATTTGCAGCCTGATGTACTTTAGACTTTGGCTAAGCCTCAGTTCTGTGTTTTTATGGAGATTGTTTTCAAGTCTGACGACTCTTTATCAGAGTTGTTCCAGTAAGACTTTTGTTAACAAAAGATCCACTTTGTAAAGTAGCTGGTTTCTTACCATCTACTGTTGTGTCATCCTAAAGCAACTTTGACCTGAAGGAAAGGTGAGCTGGTTGCTGGGTGAATATCTGAGCGCATGCTGGTGTGGAGTCTGTTTCCAGGTGTCCTAGCTCATAATCTGTGTTCCATCTCATGCTTGGGACAGATCATTTCTTGTACAACATGCTTGTCAATTAGAGGCTGGCTTGGCTGCCTTGTCGTCAGTCACAGTCATAGTGATGTTTGGCTGGTTCCTCCCATTCTGCTCTTTTTCCATCTAAACTTCTGGATGCTTTTTGCTATTGCAGTGGTGCTTTTTTGCAACTGTTTTGCACGATGTGTCTTATAATGTCTGTAATCTCCTAGACTGGATGATGATGTCACAAACGGAACTTTAATCTAGCCTTGGATTTATGATAAATTGGCCTTATTTTAAATGCATTATTTTTGTGTTCTGTGATTCTTCCTGGGTAGATTGATTTCACATTTATGACGAGTCTGCAAATAAATAAATATTCATATTCATGTAGTTACAAATGTGTAGAAATGATTTCCTGAACTGAAAAAAATATGCAGCATTTTTATTTATAGAACATGCATATTTTGAATGAGTTTGAATAATATAAAGGAAAGCTGACTTAGAGAATTTTTCCCCTTGCAGAAAAGACTACAATACCCAACAAATCCAAAGAGTGGAGTTAGACAGCATTATACTAACTTGCCCAGAAATCCCAGGTAAGCAAATTTGTCTTGTATTTGTTGTTTCATCTTTGGTACACTAATAGGACGAGAGTGCTGTACATGGTGAGTGTCACCAGCTAACCGCTGAACTGTCAGCTTCTCATATGTGATCAGACAGGAGGACCACCTCTCACTTACATTTACAAAGTGTTTTGCTTTTTGTCAAGAAGGCCTTAATATGTTACCACAAATATGCACAGGAGACTGGAAACGTATACTCTGCAATCGTGGTAATTCTGCACTTAAATCAATAATGGGGCTTTTTGTAATTTCCCCCCTGAAAGGCATCGTCCCCTTTGTCTGAAAGCTGTGTGCCGTCCATATTTTGTGTTAGTGGGGAGAATGTTCACTTGTCATGGAGGTTGTCTGGGAGGAGCAGTTGACAGTCTGTTAGAAACAAGCCCCTGTGGCTTAGGTTGGGGGTCAGCTGGCGGCTTGGGGAGGGTAGGATACGTCTCTATCGCCAATCCGAGGATCTCCGTGAGAGAGCCGGGGGGCAATGAGGCCGTCAGTCCCCAGGGAAGCTGGGGAAGAGGACGTGGTGTGACCTTGAAATGGTGGCGCCGTCGGATCGGGCCTCCTTTCCAGATTGCCGTCCTGTCGGTGGCTGTCGTTTAGGGTCCTGCATTCTGCCCTCTGCTGCAGTGAGCCCAGAGACGGATGTGAAGCGCCGGGTGCAGCAGAACAGGCGGCGGTCCTTTCTGGAGGCCCCAGGGAGCGTCGCCTCGTCAGCCAAGAGGATGGAGGTCAGGAGCCCGCAGGCGGACGGCAGCTCCAGGGGGTCCCGGCACTGCCAGAACCCCACGCGTCAGGCCCGGGGTCACGCCGCTACGGCACGGCTGGGATGCCCCGACAGTCTCTCTGTCACACTCCCATGTGCACGGCCTTCCCCAAACAAAGGGAATTTTGTAGTATGCTAAAGCCTTTCAGAAGAAAACAATCAATCTACCCAGCACCCTGTGTGGTCTCTGTACAGAGAGTGCTTAATATGCGTGCACTGTGTGTAAACCTTTAACCTTTAATAGTGAGGAAGTGGATTATGTGCCTGAGCTTGTATTAGCTCTGTCACCCCCAAGGAAGCCCCTTCCTGTGCAGCACTCCTGTTTTCACATGCGAGAGACACGGCTGCTGCACGCATTTGTTATAACACTTTGTGTAGCAGCTATGCCCATTTTCTCCTCTGTTTTTATTTATTCTTGTTTTCCAAAGTAAAGTCCCAGTTGTTATATCTGACCTGCTTCGTTAGCAGTCACAGTGCCCAGTTTAAATCGCTTTTACGCCAGTGCATCACTGAGCTCTCCGCAGTCACGTTCCCTGGTCCCCAATGACCCCTGATTTGATTGTAAGCCACTTTGGCAGGGAGGGGTCATCGTGATATATAGTGCTGCAGTGTAGCTGGCCTTGTCCTGGGGTAGAGGTGTCTTGCACACATCGTGTATCGGGGTCCCGGTGTCTGGGTGTCTGGCAGTAGAGGGAGCCGGAGGCATGGTGAGGTGTTGAGGGGTGTCAGCTGTGGAGCTGGAAATGGCTGCTGTGCCGTGTGGGTCAGCACTGACTGACTCTGTCGCATCTCATCAGCCCCAGCCGCTGGATCCTCAGGACTACCTGACCGTGTGCGGCAAGTGCGACAAGCCCAGCGAGGATCATGTGCGATGTCAGAACTGCGGCAACCCCCTGGCTGAGGATACCCCAGCCCCTGCCCCCACCCCCGCGGAGCCCCGTGTCCCCCCCCTGGCCAGGAATCCCATCCGGCCGCAGGCGGCCACGGGACCAAGCAGCCTGGCAGTGAGCAAGAGCTTCTACGGCGCGGCGTCCGGCATGAGGGGGCCGCGGGGCGACGTGGTGATCAGCCCGCCTGTGCGCATCACGCGGGGAAGCCTGCCGCTGGACGGGCGGCCTGCGGGGGCGCCAGGGAGCGCCGTCACCTACTCCAAGGCCTGCAGGGGCAAGAGGCAGCTGCCCAGCAAGCAGCACGAGCTGAATGATCCCAGTGAGTCCCGGCGTGAACGTGCGGGGCGGCTCGGGCTCAAGAACGTGCGTAACCCTTATTGTGTGTCCCTGAACGCCTCACTGTGCTGAGCACGGCTGCGGGGGTGTGGGGTTGTGGTGAGCTAATGTCACTATGCTGCTGTCACAGCTAAAAGGTTTGTGCCCAAAAATAACTACACTGTGCCTTTTTCAGCCTCTCTCATTTCTTTGTTTTCATGCGGATCTCCAAAAGGAATTGTTGTTCTTGGAAAAAAAACGTAACAATAGGAATATCTGAATCTGTTCAGAAATGCAAGTTTAATGGCTGAAGTGAAGTTAACGAATCTTCTGTGGATCTAGGGATCTAGGTTTTAACAGCTCTAGACGGCTGGATATTTGGTGACTAGTGCATGGCCTCTAGCGACTAATTGGTTATGATAACAGTGTGCAGGTCGGACTAGGTGAGGTTCTGCTGTAGAATGATTTGGACGTCGTCTTCAACTTGGTGTTAAGGCTCCAGTATGATATTTGGTGTCTACAGACCACAAACACCTGCACGGAAACGGAAATCGCAAACTGCCGGGGGCCCTGCAACTGTACAAACCACAAAAATCTGAATATATTGTTTTATATTAATACTGTGCTAAATTTTCTGTGAAATATAGTAATATTTGAAAATTAGCCATACCATACTGTTGAATATACATTATTTGACCCACTTTTTAATCTGCATGCTTGCATATTTGACAGTTAGATTTCACTACGTCTCCAACGAAAGCTGAGCATTAAAAGGAACTGGAGTAACCCTTAATACAAACAGTGAACATTATGCAATAACCATGCATCAGAAAGTAGCCTCTCACTGCTCTGCAGGGCAATTTTGTGTCTTTTAATCACAAGCTGGTTGTTTCGCGTCTCTATCTTAGCGAGATTGACTTGGCCATTTACTTGCGCTTCAGTCACCCTTATACTGTACTTGCTGCTGTCCTTCGGGTTAGTGGATCTTGTAGAAAGGCAGCTAGGCTTTAGCTCAGGAATGGAATGATTGACTTCCTGTAGAATGTTTGACTTCCTGTAGAATGTTTGACTTCCTGAGAGTTTCTCCAAGAAACTGCTCTACTCTCTTTTTGTGTGGTTTTCACCAGGCTTTTAAGTCTTTTGTCTGAAGAAGTTTGTCTAACTGCTGACCCATGGTTGTTTTTCTAGGCCCCTTTGTTTCAGTCTGGATCATTTTTGCACCTTCCTCAAAGATCTTGGCAGGACGGTCAATGCAGGGAATCTAGGCCCTTTTCAGGCCTGCCAGTTAACCTAGATGGTTGCATGTTTAACCTGTGGGGTAATTTATTCAAATTCTTCAGATCCTCTTATGTTATAAAGACAGTTCAACACAAAAAACATCAAAACACAGAACTGATATGAAAGCAAAGAGCTTCTTGCGCTCCCTCAGTGTTACACATACACCTTTGATATTTATATTATCGATGCCTGTAAATTATAATTATACACTGCTACTTCCAGTTGTTTCGGCCAAGTTCTGTAAGGCAGTAATTGCCGTGCAAGTATTTCTAATATTTGTGTGGATGTTGCAGTATTTTAAACTTTTTTTTTTTTTAATTTTAAAATATGGACATTCACTGTATTGTGGAAGGAGAAATATTTAATTCTTCAGCATATTCTTTGGTAATATGGGTCAAATCTGGCATGCAAAAACTTGAGAAAATATCCTATTTAAAAAAGCCTACTTAAAAGGTTCTACTTTATCATTTATGTATTCAAAGAGCAAAATTGCCAAACTTTGAATCCTCATTTTCAAGCATCTATTTTTCCTCGCAGTAGAATGACACAGATCCCGTAAGCGTGAAAGATGCTGAAAGCCATGCAGCATGTGATGCTCAGCTTTGCTCCAGAGTCCAGCAATCGGCAGATAACTAAAGAGTTTCCCGTTAATGTCTGAGGTCTTTCCCGCTAGTATGAGGTCACACGCTGATGCGAGTCTCATCTGTGCTGTTTCAGTTGTGCTGTCCAGCGATGACGAGGACCAGGATGGAGAAAACAGCAGCACCGGCAGCGTCAGCCGGCTGGACAATGTCTCCCCGCGGCCCGCCGATTCGGCACACTCCTCACCGGCGCCCTGTGGTGGCAGACTGGAGGCCGCCGTCAAAGTCCTTCCAGAACAGGAGGAGCTGAGCTCCAGCTTCTTCATGGATATGGACTCCAGGATCACCCTGCCGAGGAAGAGTCGGATGAAAGACCAAGTATGTAGCAATGGTCATCTGTTGACTGAGTTTTCGTGGTGTGCCCCCCCCGCCATGGATTGCTAAATTACAGGTACACCTTTGTGCTGATGCAGACGGTCTGCTCCACCAGATACTTTCATGTGGCAGCAGCAGAACATAAACAGCGTACACACTAGAGGTTCAGTTCTGTGGGACTGTGCACTAGAAGAGATAAACATACTGAGCGGCACTGAGCGTGTGGCTCAGCAACCTAAGCCTCTGTGCCTATGATTGGAAGGTTGCTGGTTCAAGCCTGGCTTCAGTAAAATAGCCACGTCTGTGGGCCCTAGAGAAAGGCCCTTAATAGATGCACCCTATTTCCCTCTGTGTGGTTTTGATCTGGTCTCTCCACAACAATGAATCGCTTTCCTTTAACTTGTGTGTCCCCCACCCCCGTGTGGGTGGTGCTCTGCTGGCGGTCGCCAGACCGGCTTGGCAGTGCCGTGAGGCTCTGCTCATCCCCAGCCTTTCCCCTACAGTTCGGGAATGCGGTGGCTGATGATACCACCAACCTCAAGCGGCGGAAGGTCATCAGCAATATGAACAGCATCATCCTGGACTGCCGGAGCGTGCGGCTGGGCTCGCTGCGCCGGATGGTCACCAAGCCTGTCATAGTAAGTCCGCCCCGCGCACGCCTCACCTCCCCCATCGCAGCCTCTGCTGTCGAGGCCGAGACTCTGTTTAGAAAATGAAGGATGTGCCATAATCAGAGGCTTTCGAATCCGAGGGTCTCTATTCTCATGCTCCATATCCATCTGCATTTTCTGCCCCGTGGGACTTGGATCTGAGTGTAAAAACAGTCATTTCCCTTTCAGTTCTCCGTCGACTACATCCAGCTGGAAACTGAAGGTGAGGGATCGGCGGTGCTGCTCTCCCGCAGGCAGACCCGTCGCACCGGGCTCCGTTCTGGCAAAGCTAGGCGCTGGTCACCTCTTGAGTCACAGGGCTGATAACTGAAACTGGTGAAATGCATTTTTTTTTTCGCCTTGGGCTGCATTTGTTTGAAAGTAATCGTGTTTCAAAGTCTTGGTGGGTGGGCAGGTTGAGGGCTTATTGCAGGAGCTTTATGTCTGGCAGTCGGAAGCCTCATGCCGTCTCTGCTCACACAATTACAGCCGTCCTTCGGCAGGGCGCCATAAAGGGGGAAGTTTAGGATTTCCTGAATGATGGACCCGAAAAAATTTGGAACATCATTGGATTGGTCTGGGTTGGGGCCCAGTATGATGAGTTTGTAGCACCATCCTTCAGCTTTGATACATGTGTGTGTGTATTTAGTTACATGATGTAGTTCAGCACAGGCGTGCGCCTGTCTGTATGTGCCGGGGTGGTATACTCTGTGGTATATACATACTGCCCGCTCTATTACAGGGCATTCTGTCACTTTGACAGCCATATACTTTCGGTACATGCAAGCTTAGAGTATAGCTGAACCCTCTTGGTGTCCCGTGGCAGGTCCAGAGCAGGACGTCCTGGAGAAGGTGAGGCTGAGGGCCTCTGAGCTGACCAGCTGCGAGTGGTGCACCGTGCGCAAGCTGCCTGTAATCTTCCTGCAGACCACAGCCAGCGAGTGCCTGCGTCTGCGCAGCCAGCTCAGGATGTCTCGTGGGCGCAGCTTGTGGTACGACTGCAAGAGCACAGGTGTGTGCCTAGGGACCCCCTCCCTCGGGTTTGTGGACCGTTGTGTGTTTTCCCTTGCTTGCTTCTCATCAACATCACCCTGCCGGCGACTCAGTGTTCAAGCCGCGCAGATCAGGTGTGTCTGTGTGTCTAATGAGGTGACAGTTTTAAAGACTTACACTTTGTCGCTTTTGGCTTTGGTCAGATCTGGCTGAGCAGTACATCGTCTTGATCTTCGAGGATGGGCTCTCAGTGCGGGTGGAGGCCATCCTGGAAGAGATTCTTCAGGAGATCGGCAGATCAAACAACTTAAGTGACTTTCCAGCCAAATTGTCATTTGAGGAAGCCAACAAGAGACTAGTCCGGTATAATGGATCAGAAGCAAAGGTGAGTGCACTCATGGGCGTTTCCACGGTGTGTGTGAGTGAACGATGCACTTTGTCACTCAGTGGTGGGAACCCGCTGATGGGTATTTGACATTGCAACAGTGCAGCAATGGTTGGAGTTACAGTGCTTCTGAGTTATCACTAGGGGGCACCATAGGGTTCCAGATTAAAGGCAACGTAGCATACAAAAGCGATGAACTCTCTATCGAGACATGTTCTGCTTTTAAGATGCTATTATGTGTAGCGTGCCTTTTGCCACTGTTTTAGGATATCTTTTTACGATATCTTTTACGAAGAGAATGAGCTGTCCAGGGGTCGGTAGTGCGTTGATGGTGTCTGCCTTCCCTGCCCCATAGCTATCGGAGGACGGTCGTCAAGGAAGGACACGCCAGTCTACACGCCTTCAGCCCTTGTTCGAGGACGATGACGACGAGGCAGAGGACATGTCTGAGCTCCAGCCCACCTTCACGGGACCCGTAGTTAAGTAAGTGACACTGTTGCCCTTCAACCTCTCACTGAGCCTCTGAGGTCAGCCTTTCCTAGAATAACATGTCGTCTTGTCTGTCAGGTTGATGGTTTACCCTCCGGCTCCAGCCAAAGGGGGCATTTCTGTCACTAACGAGGACCTTCACTGTCTCAATGACGGGGAGTTTTTGAATGACGTCATCATTGACTTTTACTTAAAGTAAGTCGTCACCTTTTGTTGTACGACTTTTTGTGCTTCCAGGCGTTTGGAAACTGGAGGAGTCCTTCCCATTGGTATTTGCATATGTGTGTTATTTGTTAGGTATTTGGTCCTTGAGAAGTTAAAGCTAGAAGATGCCCAGCGCAGCCATATATTTAGCTCCTTTTTCTACAAGCGTCTCAACCAGAGAGAGAGAAGGAACGTCCCGGACGCTGCCCACCTGCCGTGAGTCTGCGTTGCCGTCATACGCATGCAGTCTTAATCCCTGACAGTGGAGGGCCAGTGCCAGTGCCACAGTGTCTGTGTTACACTGTACATATATCCTATTATATTTCAATTATCAGATTCAGTTATTCAGTTTTTTTTTTCTTTTTGTCACTTTTTGTCACTTTTTGAAATGGTTACTTTATTTGAATCAGTTGGAACTTTGTCCACAAATTCAAAAGTTGCAAAATTCACGATAATTACTATTACAATTTTTTCTGTAAAATAGATTTAGATTGTGTTTAGGATTTAAAAAAAAAAACAACAACTAAATAATTAAAGAGATTAACTTGCTGTCTTAATCATATTGAACAGACATCTGCATAATTCCTGTCTCAGTATTTGTGTGTGTGTGGTGGGGTGTTTGGCCAATATAAACCAGACCTTCTGTTTCTTTGGTAGCAGAAGAAACTCACACCCCCCCCCCCCCCACCCCCCGATTTTTTTTCCAGAATCCAGAAAAAGAAGCACAACAGGGTGAAGACGTGGACCCGGCATGTGGACCTGTTTCAGAAGGACTTCATCTTTGTCCCCATCAATGAGTCGTAAGTGTCTAGGCTGTCACCTGCATGTTCTACAATTCTCACACAAAAAGAAAATCAGTTGGAAAATCACCTGGTGCCAGTACAATCACTCCGACACGACTCCTGGTCACTAAAATCACCTGGTGCCAGTACAATCACTCCGACACGACTCCTGGTCACTAAAATCACCTGGTGCCAGTACAATCACTCCGACACGACTCCTGGTCACTAATGCTGCTCCTCAAATAAATCTCTTGCCTGTCTTGAAATTGATGCCTTTGCTTTCATGCAAGGTAAATTACAGTAGACTTGCATGGTAGCAGTTGTGCAGTAATGAGGCCCCTCTGCAGCACTGAGCAGCCTGTAAAGTTGCTGGTGTTGCATGGTTCTCGCATCAACATTGCATTTTCTCTGGTGATGGATGCACAACGGGGTCCAGGTGACATGGAAGGAGAATAGCAGGTGACATGATGGTTCTGACTGCAGGGCTCACTGGTACCTGGCTGTGATCTGCTTCCCGGGCCTGGAGAGACAGATTTGCGAGCCCAATCCTCTGTACCAGGGCCCGGGGTCTGTGCCAAGGGCCAGCCCTGTAGACGCCTCGGCAGAGGACGAGCTGCTGCGGGTGTCACCACCTGAAGAGGATGGCCAGCACATTGCAGACGCCTCCTCCGAGAGCGACTCCAGCAGTGATCAGACCAAATGCTCCACAGCGCCCCCCAAAGGTGGTGGACGGGAGCACCGCGCAGGACTTAATGGCCAGAGCAATCCCCAGCCATACTATACCGGTGAGTCGCCCACAACAAAAGTAGAAATCATAAATTTGAAGCAGTCAGAACACAACACCTAGACAGGGATAACTGCAGTCACTTAGATCCAAAATGTATTTTCCTGTCTGTGTTGTCATGTGACCACCTCTGCAAGTTGTTCTAATTATATGCACCTGTGCTCTAAAATAGCTTAGCTGATTTTTTTTTAGAAACAGTTTGGTTAAAGATGTACACAAGAAGGCGTCTTCAGCACTGTTTGCCGACCTTGGGCTGTTGATAAAATCTCCAGATTTGCGTGTGTCCCTGCCAAGATCTGCAGCATTTCTCTTCAGTTTCACTTTGGCATGGCACTGAAAGGCCCTGTTTGTCTCTCTAGATGGCCTGCACCGTATCAGTGTCTGTTATGGAGGCCAGGGAAGAGCTGAGGATGTGTGCACCTTCTCAGACGACCAAAGCTCCAGTCAGGTAGGTGTCCTACACCTTCTCACTGTTATGCAGAGACGGCTGCAGTGAGATGCTTGTCTTCTGGTGTAGATATGGATTTGAATGCAGGCGTCGAATGCATGACATTTAGAAGAATGTAGATTGTTGAGAAAAATCAGTGTTAAGTCAAGGAAGTGTGCTGTCACCTTAGGAAATTTTACGTACAGGATGTTCTTTGTGTGGCAATCTGAAATGTAACTGGAATCTGTCTTTGTCTCTGGAAAGGATGAGTGCAGTGAGGATGGCACTCTGGCGGATGATAGTCTCACTTCCTGTCAGAGCACTGAATGGACCTCCAGAGACACCATCTGTAAACAGTAAGAGGCCGCACTGAACTCTGACCTTGCCTTATCACTAGGAGTACTTACTTCAGCTGTCAGTAGATGGCGCCATATCCACAGTGCCCCTACTGTTTTTGGAAAAGGTTCCTTAGATTATTGCAGCAAAGTTAGTTGCCGAAGATTAATTTCAGTCCCCTGAACCCCCCTATGTCTTCAATGGTTATTTTTGCTGATTTTATTTTTTTCTATGTAACTATATATAGTATTTATTCTTACCAATATAAAGAACAACAACAAATTGTCATTTTAATAATTGCTAATGTAAATGTCATTTGGTTAATCTTTTTTCTAGTTGAAAACAAACATAATAATAATGTCCTTTTAATAACAAAACAGATTAAAATGTATATTTCAAATGAATTTCTAGATAAAACAGACTGCTGTTTTGCCCTAGGTGTATGCCTTCATGCAGTAACCTTGGATCAACTCTTACGACCATACTGACAAATCAGCAAGAATGTGAAGTGATCTGTGCTTGTTTGTGTCATTCTGATTCCCAGGCCTTGCATCCTTATTATGGACTCCTTGCGTGGTCCAACCAGGTCAACGGTGGTGAAAACTTTACGAGAGTAAATCATTTTTAATCTGCTGCTTTCCTGCTCTGCGTAATCTTTAAGTAGTCATTGGATGAAACGGCGTAGTACCAGCTATGTAATAAACAATGAATAAGCCTTATTTTTACAACTTCATAGTCATCCCGGTTTTCAAGCTGGTTGTATATTTGCCGCACAAGAAATTAAATTTTTTTAAATTTCAGTTAATTACACAACGTACTGCTGAATGCTCTGTATGCAGTCAGCTACATGGTACCCGAGGCTGTATTTATGCGCTTGTCATTGGCTTGTAAACTGTATATACATTCAAAATAAGGCACAGAAAACTGCCATGTTTCATGGCCGCTGTTGTCCTTCTGCAGATACCTGGAGGTAGAGTGGGAGGCTAAGAGGGGAACCCAGAGGAGCTTCGGCAAGGATGTCATGAGAGGATCCAGTCCCCGCGTTCCCCAGCAAGACAACTTCAGCGACTGTGGGGTCTACGTTCTGCAGTATGTGGAGAGCTTCTTTGAGGTGAGGTTCCCATTGGGCTGCTTCTGCCTGTGCTTTTAAGCACTTCAGTGAGATGGTAGACGTTCACTGTGGTCCTGCTGGGAGATCTTTGCTTTTAATTCCCAGAAGGAATCCTGTGCCTCCGGGCTCTTGTAGCTGTGTAAAATCGGCTGTGTGAAACCTGTCTAATGCTGTCCTCAGTCTCACCCTGTTTCAATCGTGCTTTCCAACCCAGAGCCCCATCCCCAGCTTCCATCTGCCCATGAACTTGTCCGAGTGGTTTCCGCAGCAACGAATGAAGACCAAGCGTGAGGAAATCAAGGAGCTCATTCTTAAAATTCAGAGCCAGCAGCAATTGGACAAGAAAGGCCAGTGTGCCCCCAGAGACCTGGACCCAGGGGATGTTTCTGACCTGAAGCCCCCCCCGAGCCCCTGAAAGCCAGCACTGCTGCTGTACTGTTATCCTGTCATGGTTCGCCTTGGTCCCGCTCGGCCTGTTTTGGCCCAGACTAGCCCCAGTCACCCGATGGGCCACCCGTGATTCTACGCTGCTGGACTCCCTTATTTCTATTCTATTAAACCGACCTATTCCTTCCGTTAATGACAGAGAACATTTTAAATTTGTATCAAATAAAAAATGTACATATGTTGAGTTCATGCTGCCTTTGTAATTTAGTGTTTGTTTTTTTCCCCTCCCATTCATAACCTTTCAGCTGCTGCGTTACCAGAAGGCTGTTACACTTCTATGGAGCTTGAAGAATTTGTGTGATACACTGTTTCAATGTTCATGCACAAAGCTTTCTCCCCCACCTTTGAGCTATGTGTAAAGTGGATGTTACTTTGTTGAAAATGATCCAGTGGGAGTTTGTTATTCACCTTTTCCAGGTTATTTTTTATTAAGGAAAGTTGCTAGCTGGTGCCTGTTTAAAACGCCTTCTGACCTGTGACCACGTACTTGTGGATAAACCTTGAGTATTAAACACGTGGAAATGGAGGAAAGACCTGTGCTTTACTTCTTACTATGAAAGATTTAGTGTTTTGTCTATTTTTTTATTTTATTTTTTTTTAAGAGTGGATGCTTAATTGTAATGAGCCGTCTGAAGAGATATAACAGGGTTTCATGTCATTCGTTTTGCCAGGGAACAACTTCCCTCACCTGTTTCTTCTAACTTGCTAGTTTGTCAGGTTATCTGGTTAATTATTCACAGAAGAGCACCTCTTCCGCCAGTGCCATCTGCTACCTTGCAATGAAGCCCGGCAGATGGATGGGCCACCGCCTTCGACGCTGTGTCTTAAGGAGACTAGGAACATCACAGTGCAGCAGACCGTGGACCAATCATCAAACTGTCAATAAATGGCAGAACTAACTGATGGAAGCATCCTGAAGCTCTGTTAACTGTCAGACACCCGTTCACCGCATAATAATGGCATCCCTCGGTCAAGACAAGCATAATGGAACGCCTGCTAACTGTCACTGCTGCAGGAGGCCATGCAAGGCCATGGGCTGCTGTGTCTTCAGATTTTATTGCATTTATAACTTGTCTTGCGACTCAGAACCTTTAATGTGAAGTGCCACTAATTTGGCCTTCATTTAAAAAAAAAAAAAAAAACATGTCTACATGTATTTATGTAAACATACATACAGTATGTAGTTAATGGTGTCCTTGTGTAGAATTTTCATAAATCTACCTTGTAAGAATTTTATTTTATTTTTTTACGTTTATTGGTACCGTGTCTCAGATGTGCCTGTGCCGTGATTTCTGCTCGCATTTGGGAATGCTGCTTCCCTATTTCCCATGATGCACCCTGCGGCGGCAAACATTGTCAACTGTAGCACTTTGTGAAATTGTGCCTGGTATTTTCCTACAAACCTCTGCAAAAAACTGCTGACGTGGCATGATGATGTTTCCCCTCACGAGCTGTTCCCTCTGACCAGAAGATGTGATTGTATCTGGTTCTCGTAGCCTCTGGCTCTTTCCCTCAGCACTGGCTGTCGTGTGGTAACTCTGATCACAAATGTGCCACAGCATAATGCGCACATCTTTTGTTAATGTCAATGTTTTCTGCGTCTATTGACTTGGATTTAGTCTATAGATTCATGGAAAATCTCTTCTGCAAGCACAGGTCTTTCGATGTTTTATATTTGACTAAAGTATGAATATGTGTCTGCAGTCTAGTTTTCTCACTGCTGTTTATTTTCCCCCATTCTTCTTCATCTTTAGAAAATATATTTTTCTACCACGAAGAACAACATAATCAGTGGTTTGCTTTAACCATGTGGATGTGAAGGTGTCGTCATGTTGACATTAATAAAGAGGGTATTTGGCTCTCCAAGTGAGCAGATGATAAGGGCTGGGTCCTGTTCAGCATGAAGTGATAAATTTAGGCATAGATGGAAAAAGCATTTAAAAGTAAGAGTATTCTCTGTGCTGTGTGCACTGCTCTTGTTCCTTCCCAGACCATTCACTTCACTTGTTGAGCTTGTGTATTAGTAATGTGTTGAGGACCTGCATGTACAATGGAACGTTTCTCTTAAGTTACTATATGGCAGTGGGACAAGCTCAAGATATCAGACGAGAGCCATATTGCTTAAGGCCATGCAACTTTAAAGGACAAGTCCTGTTTTTCTACTTTGGGGATGAATTGCTCAGTTCTGCATTTGATGCTCGATTGCAGCTGTGAAAATATCCTGCTCTATGAATGGATTACAGTCACCCTGAATGATATGTGACAGCGGGGGAAAAAAAACATGCTAAATAGGTAAATCCTTAAAATGCCAATCACATGCTGACTGGTTAGATAACAAAATTATTTAATACTGACGACAGACATGAATAGACAAAGATGGAGTCACTAGCCTGTTTAGTTTAAGATAAAATCATATGTACACGTTTGAAGAAACGTATTTGTTCATTAGGTAACATGATGCAGTTCTGAGTGCATCAGATGACCCTCTCATTAGAGGCCCTTACGCTATATTAGCTTTCAGTCTCGGATAGAATGTCAACTATTAAAAAATACGTCGAATGTGTTAGGTTACTGGACTTAAAAAATTAATGAGCACCTAGACTGACACGACGTAGTCTTGGGGGTAATCATCAGGGTTCGAGTTGGCAGGGGATGCACATGACATGGCTGCCACCGCCCTCTGGGAAAAAAAGTGATGGGGACCATCTTCCTAAATGGTCAGTTGTAGAGGTAAAGCAACCCAGCTTATTAGCAAAACAGTCCGCACTGTGATTGTCCGTCCAACCCCCTTCCTGCTGTGGGCAACCCACCACCCCCTTTGAAATATTTTTATTTTTATTATTTTATCTTTATATTAATACAATATAAATTTCATATTAAATTATATTTCGTATTATTTTGTAAGGGGGCCCAGCAGCGTGGCTAATGGAACTCTATTGTTTTTGTTTGAAATATTTTCGACCACTGGTAATCATAGGGACTTAAGGGTTATCTTTAGTAATCGGAGTTTTATGGTGATTTTTTTTCTGGTTTCAGTTTAAAAGTCTGAACGGAGAATGGCATTAGGTGGAACACCTGCTCTTTTTTGTCTTTAAAACGGAACACAATGTCATGGAGGAATTTGAGCTGACGTGCATTTGATTTAATACTGGGTGATTGTTATCAGAGTTCCTGTCTGCTATTTTCATGGTATATATATATATATATATATATATATATATATATATATATATATATATATATATATACACATTATATTATATATACGCTGTGTAAATTCAATTATAGGTGTTCGAACGCAGTGAAACTTGGATCTGTATGCATTGAATGTGTGGAGCAGCGCCCCCATCGGCTAACTAATGTAAGTGCTTATTTGGGGCGTGACGTCATGCCGTGTCTCTCCTCCGCTCCTGGCTCGGCGCTTAGTGGCAGAGGAGAGCTCGGCTGCTGCCGCCGACCGAGGACGCCGACCGGGGATCTCTCGGGGGGAAAACTTTTTTTTTCCACGACAGTGCCGGTTAAGCAGAACACAAAGTAAGTACGGTAAGAAGTGATGCCCTCCTATTTGTAATGGCGGTAGGTGTTACGGGGGTGGTCCGCCGCTAGCCGGCTGGTCGCGAGCCGTGAGCGGCTCGCCGGTGATGTCGCTGCTAATGGAGGCTGTCAAAACACGGCAGCCCCGCTTGTTACAGTCCACAGATTTTAAAGTGGTCCGTACGGCTGAGTGATAACATTGCCTACACCTGTCCCGCACGGTCTTGGCATGTAGTTGGGGATTTACAGCCGGCTTTTTATTCGCGCAGGTGAATTTGATAAGCAAAAGTGATGCTACGGGACGGCCGGTGGGAAAGCTCACAGCCGCCAGGTTCATGTCCCGCCGCTTGTCAGGAGCTTTTTTCTCCTCGGACGGTGTGTCGCGGCGCCTTCCTGCGTGCTGTCACTGTGTAAATGTTAAATGCGAACGTAAGCGTTCGTAAGGTGCATAGGATGCATTGACGCCTGCGTTTGCCGTCACTTTTGTTAAAACTAAAACCTGGCTTGTTAACTTCAGCCCGGTATCGGGGGGAACACCTTGCGCTGGCGTCAGCTAATACGGGCGTTATTTCGTGCTTAGAAATGCGGAGCCTGCAAAAGAGGGAGCCGGAGGGTAGGCCCTCCGAGTGTCGCCGCGGGTTCAAAGGTTGCTCGTTAACTCGAGACGCCTTCGGTGCTTCGTGCCAGCAGCTTGCGGAATTGTTCGGAACGGGACGCCGCCTCATTGACATGCAGCGCCCGAACCGGACTACAGCCATTTACTCACTGCTGTCCGTTGCCTTTCTGTTACATTCAGTTGCAGAAGCCATCTTTTTGTTATTTAGTTGTTTCCAAGTACATTTATTTGAATAAGTTAATGTGCCATAAAGTTTTTGCACCTTTATTTGAGTGTTTTATGAAGGGCCACAGGGACTTGAATATGAAGCCTTTTGGTCACAAATTCAGTTTCCCAGAATTCACCCCCGCAATGATCACATGATCAGCTGTAGTATGATTTGTATGTATTTATGTAAATATGTACTCTTCATCTCGGTCACATTGCCCTGGTGGGAGCTTTCTGCGTGGATATCAATCGCAGCGCCACAGTAAAGAGACTCAGCGTGAATGATGTCAGTCATTATTACTGCGCTGAGCAGATTATCTTTGAAAGTCCTGGTAACACGCTGATGGTTGGATATGTTATACTGATCCTTAATCATGGGTTTTTTTTTTGTTGTAATGTGTAATGTTGGAAATCTGCAGCTCATAATTTCCCCTTGTCATTCATTTAGTCTCGCCTGCTTCATTGGGTTTATTAGTGCAGTTATGTCATGCTATTTGCATGCGGTTAAGGGAATTCTGAATAAACTCATTAAAAAAATAAAAATATGTGATGTTTCCCCTTCTGGGAATTATTAAAGCACTGAAATTAAAGTAAATGTGCTATAGCCTACTATATAATACTATACAAGCAAAATAATTTCATTCAATTTTCCATGGAACACTGACATATCTGAATTGTGAGACATTAGTTGTAACATAGATCGTTGTGGTTAAGTAAATACTTACATGCTAAGTGTCACTATGTGAATGGTTAGAGTAAAAGTGCCATTCAGTAACAAATCGGGAAGAATCCCGGACATCTGACCATCTGTGTTACTTGTCAAAATGTATCAGAGAAATACACAGTATTAAAGGTTCATTAGATAAGGTATTGTTTAGGCTTTAATTTTGAATGAATGTGGTTAAATTATAGGTCTTTGTGTCTGTTTTGTTTGCTAGTGCAGTATGTAAATTTTTTTGTCTGTCCTCCCATATCTGGGGCCAACGGCCACATTAAAGTGTTGATCTGAATTGTCAATTGGTTGAATTTGGATATTATTCATTACTTACTGCCTGTGTAGTATGTCTGTTAGTCCATCCATCCATCCATCCATCCAACTATAATTCTCTATATCAGGGTTGTAGGGGATGGCTGCCGGCTATCTCAGTCAGCACAGGCCACATGGTATGCATTAGTGTTTCAGTATATCATTAGCCTGGGGATACAACATGCCATGTAAACTGCCAGAGGTTTCTGCTTAGGATTACTGATCAGGATGTGAATCTTTACCCTGTTTCAGTGAGTTTTGACGGGACAGATTGGTGTCCTGCATATACCCTAATTTATACCATAGTCTTCCTGGATCATCAGCTTCTGCCCCCAGGCCACTTTTATATATTTTTATATAATTTTTTTAATACTTATATAGTTAACTTATTTTTTGTTATTTTGTTACTCTTCTAAGTTGTTTATTGCATGGAGTAGCGGGTTTCTCATTACACTGCTGGTGTACAACATACATGTGATACATAAATCTCTTAAACCTTGAATCTTAAGTCTTGGGATAGGCTCTGGAGCATCCGAGCTAAATAAACAAATGAATGACTGGATGGATGGATGGATCCACCTTTAACTAATGAAACATGAAAGGAGCTTAAAAAGGACAGGTCAGGTACCCATGTTATGGGATATCATTTGTTTTACTAATTGCCGTGTTGTGTAGTATTGTGAGAACCTTGGACATTTTTCAAAACACTTTCACAGTTTTTCATATATATTCTTATGATAACTCCGTATGCATTTAAAATCATCGCTGCAAGCTGTCAGATTCTCACCAGGGGTACCTGGGACAGGCCACACGGTGCGTGTGCTGATTTTCACTTAAGAAACATGCTTGTTTTTAATTGAGCTATTGGCTATTGAGTGTATATTGTGGTTTCTGTCATGTTGAAGGAGGATTTGAGAACTTATTGTAAGTTTTCAGTTCATTTTAATTTGAACTTGTTCATACAACAAAACTTTTATTTTTGTGAAACTTAAAACCACCAGTTAAATTTAAATTAGATCATTTATTTGCAGATAACTGCTCAAGGGCAATTAGTCATTCAAGAACATAACCAATCATTCCTATTCAAATATATTAAGCAAATGATTCATTTCAGTGACAGAAATTGTTGCGACATGTTTTTTCACTAATACAGGTTACACTTCATCCTAAATACATTTTCTTTAGCTTGGCTGAAAAAGCAGTTGACTGAAAGGTTAAATAAAGACTCGGTTGGACAGAAACAAGCAAGCAGTCTAGTGCATGGGAAAGAGCGCTGGGCATCCCTGCTTTATTTTTCCGGCTGATGCTACTGAGATGAATCCTAAGCGGTATAGATGCAGGGCTCTCAGTAGCGCCTCTGTGATGCACCATGTTTTCATAAGATGGATGTCCAGCATGCGTGCTGAGCCGCAGCTTCGCTTTGCTGCTCCAATGTGCACGTTGGGGTGTGGAGATGCAAGGGCGCAGGTGTAATCAGAGGAACATGAGATGATTTAGTCATGGCGCCAGGCGTGGCCCCTTCTGAGTTAGCCGTGCTGTCTTTATCACGTTACCTCTGCCGGTGCCCCATTTGCCCCGCCGCATGACGCGGCTATGTAGTGCGCGGCTGTGTAGTGCGCGGCGGTGTAGTGCGCGGCTGTTTAGTGCGCGGCTGTGTAGTGCGCGGCGGTGTAGTGCGCGGCTGTTTAGTGCGCGGCGGTGTAGTGCGCGGCTGTGTAGTACGCGGCTGTGTAGTACGTGGTGTTGTACGCTGGCACCTGCTGTCTGCACCTTAAGAGGAAACTATTGTCATTTTATATGGTTTTAATTAGGCATGACAGGTATTGAATATTTTAATCGGCCAGACATCATATCGGCCAGACATACTGCCATATATATTGGTTTGATGCTATTTTCAATAGCAACACTATTTTGATGTTTTGAAATGATTTAATTTTATCGTTTGCCTGATTTTGTCGCTTATATTTCTGAATACCACAGTGTGCCATATTACCACAATACCATCCATGTCTGCTACTCTAAACTACTCTTCTGGATGGTCAAAAATTGCCAACTTTTTTTTTTTTTGTCTTTTTAGTTTTTTCCATACAATGTGTCGGCCCCTATCAGTCTCACTGCACCTTCTATGCTGCACTTTGCTATAAATGCAAGAAGAGTTTACAGTTTTAAAAGGTCCCCAGGATTTTAAAATGTAAATACAGCTCTGGAAAAAATTAAGAGACCACTCTGTTTTTTTTTCTTTCTTTTTAAATCAACATTTTTAAATCCTGGTTTAATCCTGGTTCTGCTGGCAGTAGGCAACACTACTAGGCAGGCTGCTTCCAAGCTCAAAGATTCTAAGACAGCAGTACACAAGAACAAGGTTTGACAATAACCAAACACCAGCCAGGCAGAGGGCAGAAGCAACTTTCTAATGCCGGAGATGACTGTCAAGTTATCTGGCAGTGCTTCGTAAATCAGAGGATGACCTCAAGTGACCTTCAAAAAGAATGGTAAACATCATGTGGTATGAAGTGCACTGCTAGGACAATCCATGACAGGCTCCTAGAAGCAGGACTGAAGACCCCTAAAGCAAGGAAGAAGCCCTTCATCAATGAGAAACAGGGAAGAGCCAGGCTGGAGTTTACAAAAAATGTGTATTTTACACAGGGTCATACCCAAAAATTAAGAAAGGAAAATTGTTTTTTTTCCCCAGAGTTGCATATGGGAATATCATACCAATAGAAGGTAATCGGGAATTCTTGCTCTACACCTTGCTAGTGAGAGAAGGAAAAATTGGCAGTTTGAGAAGCCCATAGATGTCATTTGGGAGCAATGTGATGCAGTAGTGTGGTGTGGATGAATCTGGAGAGTGGGGTAAATGGAAGTTACTATTCACTTTAACCAAAAATAGGTTCAGGTGGTTATGGTTCCAGTTTTAGTGTCAAGTGTGAATGTTAATTGCCATCTTGTCTAGTGTAAACCAGTCCAGTATGTGAAACTGAATGGAACATGTGATGGTCACTGGATGAAGCTTCAGCGTGTTTTATCTTCTCTCTCTAAAGAAACTTGACAAGAAGAAGTCAGGAATGTGAACTGCAATTTGTAATACAGCTAAGACCCCTTTAATTTAGAAGCCTTGTTTGCTGCTGAACCCAAAGTAAGAGTAAG